ACGTGCGCCGACTTCATGGTGATGTGTGGCGTACCAGTGATGATATAGGGCGTCGCTAACGTAATAAATACGGTATCAAACAAATTACAATGCCACCGGCCAGGTGTGACAGAACATGATGAATGTTAAAGACTTCCAAACGCAGTTGAACGATGAACGCCCTTAAAGGGTTACATTGCTGTATTGACATACACAATGAACAACAGAAGGAAAAAATGTGCAATTAATAAAACTCCAGACTCATCCAAACACGCCAACACAAGCAACCGCTCGTACATCAACTGACTTCATTACAAACGATGGGTCGCAGTCCGACCTTGGAAATCCGGACAGTCACATCGATCTTCTCTTCTGCAGTCTGAACAAGGTAGTATAAGTTTACCGGCTAACTGCCAAGCGCAATAAACAATATACCAGCTTTCCGTTGTTGTTTCTAGTGGAGTCCCGGGGTAGAGCGTCCTCAAGATTCCAACTTTATACAACGACTGCTTTCAGTGGCATCCCGGGGTAAAACGTCCTCAAGGATCCACACGTCTGTCTCCTTCAGACTGTAAACATCGATTGCTTTTGACAACAATCCATTAACAACATTGTGTATTGTTTTGACATCCTATTTGCCAACTCACTACTAGTGCGTTCTAGTGCATATCCGCACGCGACATTCTGCATATTCCCAAAATGTCGCCATGTAAATTTACCATTAGGAATACTTCCCCAAAAGGATTACACATACCTCACTTATAACTTGTAATATAATAAAGCTATTGTTGGATGTTCGCTCTTAAAACGGCGGTGGACATTTTGTGATGTGGTTTAACTAGGCAGCGATGCATGCACCTTTTGGTTCACCATATCCGATTGCATTACTCTTGGAACTCTGCAAACGTACAGTGTATATATTGTTGTTATTAGCTGTGTTTAGGATTAAAGTAAAGAGGGACAGCAATTACATAATGCATAAAATGTGTGAGGTGATAGGGGCAGAATGTAAGGCCCCTTTGGGTATGAAAATAAAATTCGTTAGCTCTAACAGTCTGTTCGCTTCAGTCTTTCTGTGGTCTTCATATACCTGCATATGTATATGATGCTAATATGTCTTTCTGTCCCTGTCTGTCCTTATATCTTGTCGATGATTTTTATCTTTAATTTCTAAAATAATGTATACATGGAAAAATGTGTATAAGGAATAAGGTCAGAACGGCGAAAGTTAGGACGTGCCTACCTGCCTGCCGACTTGCTGGTTCACCATCTCTATGTCTTCTGTTATTTTTTGTAGTTTCATGCAATTGTTTTCATGCGAAGTTGCGTCTCATAATGTGATATGTTGCGTATTTCATTCACTTTCAGCAAGATGACTTAACTCTCCCAGGTAAGATCTATAAATGTTTTCAAACATTGTATCACAGGTATGATCAAGAAATGGTTTCAAACACTTCCTCCCAGGTAAGATTAAGAAATGGTTTCAAAAACCAACTCACAGAAAAGATTTAAAACAAAATTGTTTCAAACACTGCCTCAGATATAAGATCATGAAATGGTTTCGAATACTTCCTCCCAAGACTGATCAAAAAATAGTTTCAAATATTTCCTCCCAGGTAAGATCAAGAAATGATTTTAAACACTGCGCGCAAGGTGAGTTTAAGAAATGGTTTTAAATACTTCGTCCCAGATAAGATTTAAAAAAAAAACGGTTTCAAATACTCCCTCCCAGCTACGATCAAGAAATGGTTTTAAATATTGCCTCCCTTGTAAGATCAAGAAATGGTTTTAAATATTGCCTCCCTTGTAAGATCAAGAAATGGTTTCAAATACTTCCTCCCAGTTAGGATCAAGATATTATTAGGTTGACCCAGCCTAAATTCGATACAGGACACATTTATTAAATTACCCTCACCTGCACGGCACATCGTATTGATGGTTTGGAACGCTTTTCTGGCTACTTAAAAAAAATGACGCTGTGTCGCCAGTATCAGTCATCGTCGACCGGATCGCAAATTAGCTCGCCGGTAGCCGACTTTGTCGCCTGTCGGGACAGTTTTTGGGTCTGTCTCATTTGATTACATCAAAACCGAAAGATTACATTTAAGGGCTCTCGGTGGCGTGCAATGCTAAGTTTTTTACACACACACACACACACACACACACACACACACACATATATATATATATATATATATATAGCGCACATGACAGTACAAATTATAACCTAAAGCTTTTCTTTCTTGGATGCTGGTTGAACGGGATGTTTTGTTGTTGTTGTTGTTGTTGAGCAAATCACCACTACCACCACCAATATCAGTCAACCTAACAACAGTTAGTCATCTCTTTACGATATGCAATATAGTGACTAGATTCTCACCTGAAGACCCAAAGTTGTATGCTAAAATCCTATCTTAGAGTGTATTTTTCCTAAACTGACCTTGGCTCCTAATTTTATCTAGCGCAAATTAAGTACCGAATGATGTCCTGGGAAATAAAGGCGTCCGGAATGATAGTGACCACATACCCCATTGTCTTTGAATTTGTCTATACTTGTGGTCTGCAACGTGGACAAGGGGGGTGGTGGGGACGGGGGGGGGGGGAGGAGGGTAGGGTTTAAAAAAAAAAGGGTGGGGACGTCAAGCACAACTTATATTTTGTTTCAGTAAAAATTTTTAAAAAATATTTTATTAAACTATTTATCAAACAAGACGACGAGGACATTTCTGTGTTGATAAGCAGTTTGTGAATTTGCCGCTAAAAATTCAATTAATATAATAACACATCTCTTTTTAATCACAGTTTGGTTATGTATGGGACAGGGAGTTCTACTATATACTTTGCCTTGCCATAAACCTGAAAAAATAGAGACCACTGATCTATGCAATCTATAGGTCTAGTGCTAAATATCGGATAGCGAAGAGTAGAAAAAGGTGTCCTTCACTTCATTGATATTATGTCTGGCAGGTTCAGCGTTGAATTCTTCGTTTCCCCAAAAGTGTTGTGGTAACATACGATGTTAAAAACAATGTGCATGGTTTGGTTATGGAAAATAGAAATGTACCCTTTATGTAATATTTCTTGAACATCAGCCCAACTCTGCGATCGCCGACCAGCCTTTACGGAAAGTCATATTCTTGAGACTGGAAGATCTCTCGAAGAGGACAGATCATATGAACTAGACAAAATCTTGGGAGGCAGCTCAACTAAACACGTTGAAGTTCCTTGGATAATGAACATATTGTTTGACGGAATTCCTAGATGTGCAGGTGTAATCATAAATAAATTCTGGATACTCACATCAGCCTTCTGTGTTTTGTAAGTACATAATGAAATACAATAAAGTACTCACCATTTTTTTAGGCATTAACTCTTTGAGTCCCAAAGAACACATCATACGTTCATAGATTCCTACCTAGAAGCCAAATGAATGCAAGATGCGCCGATTTTATATCTCTTTTTGACTACCCCTTGGGCCTGTGATGCTATACACCCTGGGTCTCAATGAGTTAAGGAAAGCTATCTTTTTGTTTATTATAAATGTTTCCGTGGTTTCAGGGATTCCCCCTATTACAAGACCCCCGCCCCCCCCCTCCCCCCGAAAAGATAGTAATAATGCTCACAAGGAAATGATGATTAACAGAATGTATGCCAAATTTCAACAAATTGCTTCGAGTTTTTACCGAGTAACACATTTTTAAAGTTAGGCAGTATTTCTGGAACGGACAATTTTACGTGAATTCTCTAATCAATTCGTTAGCCGAATTCCTCAGCGTAGGCTAAAAAAAAAACAGAGGAACATTTCTTCGTTAGCGAAAAAACATTCATTAGCCTGTTAACTGGTTTTATATATATATATATATATATATATATATATATATATTATATATATATATATATTATATATATATATATATATACATATATATATATATATATATATATATAGATATATATATATATATATATATATATATATATATATATACTAGCTGTACCCGGCCACGCGTTGCTGTGGCATAGTTTGGCTAAATGGAAATGAAAGAAAATAGAAATCGCACGTGTCTAATACAATCATTGTCTGCTCAGATATAGAGATAGTCTTTGATCCTCACCCCCCCCACCCCTAACTAAATCCACCTACTACCCTCCCCCTTATAAATTTATGTCATTACCCCCCCCCCCCCTCCCCTCTTCCACCGACTACAGCTTTCTCCCTCTTCGAAACATTTGAAAATCATTACCTGGCGATATTTTGTTGTTGCTGTAACTGACATTGACATCCCTGTCCATCTGGACTAAAATAGGGAGCAGGAATTGTAAAAGGTAGTGAAAAGGGCTAGTGTAATATTTACCACATCATCCTTCAAGTACCAGTACAACTACTAAAATAATGTCACTGCTATCTGTGTTACCATCGGAGTAGACAGAGAGTCGTGAGCCAGAAGATTTGGTTCCGCATGGCTAGTGCTGTCGCCACAGACTGGTCAGGTTAGGATGTATAATTTCACTTGCCGACAGAAGAACGCCATAACCTTACCGGCGGTCTTCACATGAGAGCACTATAGTGTAACAGCCCAACCACAACTATTACTACTGCTGCTACTTTAAGTGGGTAAAGCAGTTACTGTGACTTAAAGCTCTCTCAGTTAATAGTTTGCCCCCCCCCCCCTCCCACCAAATTCACCGACAACTCTTTCCCTCATTGAAGTAGTTGGGAGAAAAAAAAAAACACTTGAAAAGCAAACGAACACAGGAAAAAAAACACCATAATTAGGAAATGAATGCCATTGTAAACAGCACAGCTTAAAATTTCAACACAGATGAAATAACTAAATCTAAATGAAAATAAATGAAAATCTATAAAATTCCAGCGTAACCATGCAATCGGAAAGTTTAACAATGCAATCATAAGTATGCGAAATGGTCAAATTTAATTATCAAATGGTTTACCCATTTACTTTTTTTTTTTTTTTTTTTAATATAAAGGCAACATGGCTAGTGCTGTCACCACGGCAGAG